TGCTTTTTTCTCTCTTTTTTTTTTTTTGCTTTGATCGATTGGATAAATCAACTTACCAGACACCTAAGAGGCTATGTACCATATCTCCAACTTTTCTGGGACATCTTCTGGTCATTTAGTAAACATCCATGCACAATTTATCACTTATATCTGCCAGGTCATGAGTTTCTTTAGTGTCCCCAGGGGTGAAATAATGCAAAAAAGCATTGTATTTAATATAAAAAGAGGACAGTAACACATTCATCATGATACTAACTGATGGGGCATTTTCTTGCTGCCAAAGAGAATGTGCTCCTCATCTTTCTCGCAGTGCTGGAGTGCACAGGGGTGGACTTCCCTTCCCTTCCTCCCATACTGGCGTAGGTTCCACCCCCAATGCACAGTGAGAGTTAAATAATGGTCTCCAGTGGGGTACAAGGGTAAAAAGGTGGGAGGAGAATCCGACAGCACAGATGGACTGCCTCGCAGAGTAGTTTCACATGCAGAAAATGTTAATTAAATCTATAGTATGCAAGGCTGTGAAATGCCAAAACTGCATTTACTTGATGGAAATATAGAACAAAGAATGGAGGGCAAATGGAGGTTGATATGTTGCTCTTGGAATCCTACCAAGGAATAAATTCAAAATAAATACATAGCATCCATATGTTATGTGCAAAGTAAGCATCACTCACTAGCCCTAAGCTCTTTCACTGGCAATATCCCAAATCCATCACAATAGCCGCACATATAGCGAGGATTTTCTGAAGCACAGGGGAAGAAACTCATTATGGAGGCTCATATGTGAGACACTGCTCGTATGGCATTGACAAATGCTCGACAGAGAAACCAGTGTGGCATAATTCAAAGAGGTCCAGCACAATGAGGGTTTCTCATCATGGTGAATAATGCTGGGTGCTGGCTGCTTCTCAGCTTTAAGTGGTGGGAATGTTACTTTTGATATATTGACTTCTGGATTTATGAAATAATCCCTGAATCAGCGAATATATGGAGGTATGGAGCACCACGGATAAAGACACTCACAAAAACCTGGGGAGTGCTTTTAGTTATTTATTTATTTTTTAATTTGCTGTCTTTATATTCAGATTTGAAT